AATTAATGAAAAATTGTGAACAAATTTACTTTAAAGAGCAATAACTCCTTAAGGGGACAATTGACAATTTTGGTCATATTGACTTATTTGTAGATCCTACTTTACTGAACATTCTTGCTGTTTACAGTTTATCTCTATCTATAATTATATTGAAGATAATAACCAAAAACTGCAATATTTTTCTTAAAATTACCAATTCAGGGGCAGCAACCCAACAATGGGTGGTCGGATTTGTCTAAAAATTCAGGGCAGATAGATCTTGACCTGATGAACAATTTTATCCATGTCAGATTTGCTCTAAATGCTTTGGTTTCAGAGATATAAGCCAAAATCTACATTTTACCCCTATGTTCTATTTTTTAGCCATGGGGGCCATCTTATTTGGCGGGCGGGATCATCAGACACATTTTTAAAACTAGATACCTAAATGATGATTGTGGCCAAGTTTGGTTAAATTTGGCCCAGTAGTTTCAGAGGAGAAGATTTTTGTAAAAGTTAACAGACGACAATGGACGACGACGAAAGACGGACACCAAGTGATGAGAAAAGCTCACTTGGCTCATTGGGCCAGGTGAGCTAAAAATTAAAGGGTCAGTAAGTTGCATCTTTACCCAAAATTTTTTCAATTGAACTTTAACCAAGTACAAATATGGAATATACATAAAACCTAACGGATGCATTGTTGTAAAGTCTAATAAATTCATATAAATATTTTCAAAAGCATACATAAGAACATTTTAATTGGCTGATTACATTTGTAACAATGAATATTTGACCAATGAAGTTATTAAGTTATTTTTATTTTGGAACAATGCCATTACCCATAATCCTTTTGATGATGAATCAGTGAATCAAGTTTTGAATACAGCCTTTCAGAATATAATTTTTATATTTTGACAATCTTAGAGATGTATTCATACTGTAAATAAAGCATCTTGTATTGTAAAAGTCTGATTACAATGTTATATTATACTGGAGTGAAACGTCCCTGCTAATCCTGCAATTTGATTGGTTACTTTATATAAGCCTGTTATCAAAAACGAAGATCAGAATGGTAATGAATGTTGAAATCAGGACACTCCAGTATAATATAATTGTTATTAGGTCTTCACAGGGGACATGGGCTCATATTCCCTGTCAGTGCCCTATATCCCTTTCAAGTGGGGGCTCAAAGATATAAAACACTGACAGAGAATATGAGCCCATATCCTGAATAACCTATAAAGTCATCTAATACTAACCAAATATTCTCAATATTTTGCAGGGATTTAAAGCAAATTATCTTGTTCTTGAAGGTGAGAAATGAGCCCTTTTATACACAATCAGTAAAAAATTTGAGATTAAGGTTAATATGAACTAACAAGGGTCAAAAGGGAAACTTCCAACACATTTTTGTTTTTACCTAATTATAAACAGGCTCATTGTTTAAGGCCATACTGATACCTATAATTGCTTACATCTTTGTGTTTGTAACCGGTGGATGTTTGTCTCTTTTGACCTTATTATAAACAGCCTCATTGCCTAAGGCCATACTGATACCTATAATTGCTTGTACATCTTTGTCTTTTTGTATCCGGTGGATGTTTGTTTCGTTTGACCTTATTATAAACGGGCTCATTGTCTAAGGCCATACTGATACCTATAATTGCTTACATCTTTGTCTTTTTGTATCTGGTGGATGTTTGTTTCTTTTGACCTTATTATAAACAGGCTCATTGTCTAAGGGCTATTCCATTAAAATGTATGTGGGAGGGTAGGTAGGGAAGTTTTATTATTGAATGTGTGTCATGGGTCTTTTTTCAGTATGCATCTATTACCATTAGGCAAAATTATCTAAACTAGAGGCTCTAAAGAGCCTGTGTCGCTCACCTTGGTCTATGTGCATATTAAACAAAGGACACAGATGGATTCATGACAAAATTGTGTTTTGGTGATGGTGATGTGTTTGTAGATCTTACTTTACTGAACATTCTTGCTCCTTACTACTATCTCTATCTATAATGAACTTGGCCCGGTAATTACAGTGGAAAATACTTTGTAAAAATTTACAAAAATTTACAAAATTTATGAAAATTGTAAAAAATTTACTATAAAGGGCAATAACTCCTTAAGGGGTCAATTGACAATTTTGGTCATGTTGCCATATTTGTAGATCTAACTTTGCTGTACATTATTGCTGTTTACAGTTTATCTCTATCTATAATAATATTCAAGATAATAACCAAAAGCTGCAAAATTTTCTTAAAATTACCAATTCAGGGGCAGCAACCCAACAACGTGTTGCCTGATTGGTCTGAAAATTTCAGGGCAGATAGATCTTGACCTAATGAACAATTTTATCCTCATCAGATTTGCTCTAAATGCTTTGGTTTCAGAGATATGAGCCAAAAACTGCATTTTACCCTATGTACTATTTTTTAGCCATGTCGGCCATCTTGGTTCGCGAGCGGGGTCATCGGACACATTTTTTAAACTAGATACCCTAATGATGATTGTGGACAAGTTTGGTTAAATTTGTCTTAGTAGTTTCAGAGGAGAAGATTTTTGTAAAAAATTACAAAAATTTACGAAAAATGGTTAAAAATTGACTATAAAGGGCAATAACTCCTTAAGGGGTCAACTGACCATTTTGGTCATGTTGACTTATTTGTAGATCTTACTTTGCTGAACATTATTGCTGTTTACAGTTTATCTCTATCTATAATAATATTCAAGATAATAACCAAAAACAGCAAAATTTCCTTAAAATTACCAATTCAGGGGCAGCAACCCAACAACGGATTGCCTGATTGGTCTGAAAATTTCAGGGCAGATAGATCTTGACCTAATGAACAATTTTATCCTCATCAGATTTGCTCTAAATGCTTTGGTTTCAGAGATATGAGCCAAAAACTGCATTTTACCCTATGTACTATTTTTTAGCCATGTCGGCCATCTTGGTTCGCGAGCGGGGTCATCGGACACATTTTTTAAACTTGATACCCTAATGATGATTGTGGACAAGTTTGGTTAAATTTGTCTTAGTAGTTTCAGAGGAGAAGATTTTTGTAAAAGATTACAAAAATTTACGAAAAATGGTTAAAAATTGACTATAAAGGGCAATAACTCCTTAAGGGGTCAACTGACCATTTTGGTCATGTTGACTTATTTGTAGATCTTACTTTGCTGAACATTATTGCTGTTTACAGTTTATCTCTATCTATAATAGTATTCAAGATAATAACCAAAAACGGCAAAATTTCCTTAAAATTACCAATTCAGGGGCAGCAACCCAACAACGGGTTGTCCGATTCATCTGAAAATTTCAGGGCAGATAGATCTTGACCTGATAAACAATTTTACCCCATGTCAGATTTGCTCTAAATGCTTTGGTTTCAGAGATATATGCCAAAATCTACATTTTACCCCTATGTTCTATTTTTAGCCATGGCGGCCATCATGGTTGGTTGGCCGGGTCACCGGACACATTTTTTAAACTAGATACCCCAATGATGATTGTGGCCAAGTTTGGTCAAATTTGTCTTAGTAGTTTCAGAGGAGAAGATTTTTGTAAAAGTTTACGGACGACGGACGACGGACGCAGGACGACGGACGACGGACGCAAAGTGATGAGAAAAGCTCACTTGACCTTTCAGGTCAGGTGAGCTAAAAATGGTTCTTGGTTGTAGGGATATTTTGAAAGTCCCTTCCTACCCTCCCACATACATTTTAATGGAATAGCCCTAAGGCTATACTGATACCTATAATTGCTTACATCTTGGTCTTTTTGTATCTGGTGGATGTTTGTTTCTTTTGCCCTTATTATAATCAGGCTCATTGTCTAAGGCTATACTGATACCTATAATTACTTACATCTTTGTCTTTTTGTATCCGGTAGATGTTTGTTTCTTTTGCCCTTATTATAATCAGGCTCATTGTCTAAGGCTATACTGATACCTATAATTACTTACATCTTTGTCTTTTTGTATCCGGTAGATGTTTGTTTCTTTTGCCCTTATTATAATCAGGCTCATTGTCTAAGGCTATACTGATACCTATAATTGCTTACATCTTTGTCTTTTTGTATCCGGTAGATGTTTGTTTCTTTTGCCCTTATTATAATCAGGCTCATTGTCTAAGGCTATACTGATACCTATAATTGCTTACATCTTTGTCTTTTTGTATCCGGTAGATGTTTGTTTCTTTTGCCCTTATTATAATCAGGCTCATTGTCTAAGGCTATACTGATACCTATAATTACTTACATCTTTGTCTTTTTGTATCCGGTAGATGTTTGTTTCTTTTGCCCTTATTATAATCAGGCTCATTGTTTAAGGCCATACTGATACCTATAATTACTTACATCTTTGTCTGTTTGTAACTGGTGGATGTTTGTTTCTTTTGCCCTTATTATAATCAGGCTCATTGTCTAAGGCTATACTGATACCTATAATTGCTTACATCTTTGTCTTTTTGTATCTGGTGGATGTTTGTTTTGTTTGACCTTATTATAAACAGGCTCATTGTTTAAGGCCATACTGATACCTATAACTACTTACATCTTGGTCTTTTTGTATCTGGTGGATGTTTGTTTCTTTTGACCTTATTATAAACAAGCTCATTGTCTAAGGCCTTACTGATACCTATAATTGCTTACATCTTTGTCTGTTTGTATCCGGTAGATGTTTATTTTGTTTGACCTTATTATAAACAGGCTCATTGTCTAAGGCCATATACTGATACCTATAACTGCTTACATCTTTGTCTTTTTGTATCCGGTGGATGTTTGTTCCACTGGTAGTTATACAATATCTACTTATTTTTATAATGATGGTATAATATTTCTTAACAGATAATTTTCATTAATGTCAAGTTTATTACATTATGTGGTAATTATTTTGTTCTCTTATGTATTTTAAATCATTAAATCCAAAAAGAAAATTTAGAAGGTTAGGTCAAAAGATATTTTTTTTTTACTTTTATATTTGGTTTTTGTTAAACATAGTAATAACTTAAAATGCTACAAAGTATATAGTTTTTATTTAAAAAAAATGTCTTGGATCTTTTCGTTTTCTACTGTTGACTCTTGACTTTCCACCTCTGACTGAAATAAGGTTCAATAATCTCATTACCACATGATTTCAATGGATAAAAATTCTTCTTAAGTTTTACTGTTTTTCCAATTGCCTTCTGTAGTTCCAAAGACAGATCAAGACCACATGATTTTTTTAATCTTTGGACAGTCTCGTCAGACAGACTAGGCTTAATTATCAAATGATTCATAATCATCCAAATCATTATTACAGATGACAAATTTAATGTCGGTTCTGGAAACTCAAAATCAGTTGTACATTTGAAATCCGGTTCATTCCACAAAGAAATCTGATTTGCATTCCTTAACAATATATCCTTTTCACAATCATACAAATAGATATCAAAAAAGTTTCCACTTATAGCAATTAGCGGCACAAGAGAAACTTTATTTTGTAAATTCTCTATTTCTCTATGTCTATGTTGGAAGGCTTTTTGATAATATGAAAATGTAATAGCATGAGCCACAAACTGTGATACGTTACTGGGATATCTCAATATCTCTGACTGTTTCTGAACTTCAATTATCTGCTGTTCTTCAAAATCTAACTCTTTTATCAATTCCTTGTCCTCTCTTTCATCTTCATTTGATTGAGGTGCAGCGATGCTGTTTATTTCATCGTCATTTTTGTAAACAACAATATCAGGTTTCCCGTACCAAAGCCATTCACTTCCTGCAAAGATACATCATATTATGACTAAAAGAGAGGTGAAGGATACCAAAGTAACATTCATACTCATAAAAAAAATAGCTCAAAATTATCATTAGGCTCACTCAAACCCAAAACCCTAATTATACTGGAATATATGACTTCTGAAAACTAGGCAAATAAGAATTGCTTTTCAAATCTAATTTTTAATCCATAAATATTTTTCATGCTAGAATGACACACGAGTATCTTTTAAAAAACGAAATTCAGCCAGTGTGTATACCTTGCGATTGCAAGTATACAATAAAACATTTTTTAATTGAATGTATAGACTTTTCCGATATCCGAAAAAAAAACATTTTAATGTAAATAATATGTATGAATTATTTAATAATATTCCTGTTGAAACAATTGTTTCTTTTTTAAAAGAAATTGGAAAATATTCCAAAATTTGAATTTGTTGTATTAGTTTAAAATGTTTTTATCATGTTATCTTATTCATGTTATTGATTAATTTATATTTGTAAATAAGAATTTTCGCTTTAAACTCAAGTTTAAGTAAATTGAAAGACTTTTTCTGTGTTAAAAAAAAAAAGGAACGTCTTGTTGTAATATTTAAAAAAGCTCTCGCCGCGATATAACCTTTTTGTGCTGATGCGCCGTCAAAGCAATCACCATTCAATCAATGAAATTTAATTTTTAGTCCATAAACATCTTTCTTTGAACCCCCCGAGGGATCGCTATCCTTGCCGTGGTCGGGGGGCTTGCGTGTCTCAGTGACCCCAAGAGCTATGCCAGTTGGAGCTTCGTCTCCTGGTAGGGTTACCCATGCTGGACAGGTCGAAGGGTAGAGACCAGACTAAAGTGATCCGAACATCGTACGAGTTGCCCGATGTTTTGAATAAAATAGGCTCTCCAACCCGTTGGCCGTGGGTTGCTACCCGTGTCGGTGGTTGACGAGATCCTTGCGGATGAGGGCTGTAGCCAGACTCCTTACGGTCAGAAAATACCCGAACGGACGAGACTATAGTTCAATAAGCTGCTTTGGCTCCAATATCATCTAAACGGGAGGTCGGATGGACCCGGTTCGATCAATCGGCTGGTCATGTCGAGCCCTTCAGTTAATCCTCAACAATAAGCTTTCTTGTAACAGTTTTCATTATATACACATGTGTTTTAAATTAAGCTATTTATATTTCGGATAACTGAAGAAGGCGATGGCTCATGGGTCAATCAAGTGGTACGCTTTCTATTTCGCTTGATGGATACGCTCTGCTTGAGTATACTATTCTTGGAACATCTGGTGCTTTCCGCAGTGGATCTTGGGTGCTAATTTTGGGGATCAGCTACGTTATACATGTTATACTTGGAGCTCGTTTTCAGCATTAGCACTTGACCCCGGCTCGCCACGGAAACACAGCATCGCCCTTGTAGGCACTCCGAGGTGGGTGGATGACAAGAATGGTGAATCTTTCTCATTTCCTATGGCACAACAAAACCAACCCTCTAAATCAGCTTTAATACATAAAAAAAGAAAATGTGATGATTCAGTGCCCTGTCACGAAGATGACAGTTGGCCAAGATTTATTGTAATAAAAGGAACAGATGAAAAACCAATTTCCAAAATATCTCCCTTTGTGATTCACAAACAAATTCTAAGCGTTGCTGGTACTGTAAAAAAAGTTTCAAAAATGAGATCAGGCAATTTGTTGGTTGAATGTTCCAACAAAAGTCAATCAACAAATTTGCTTACAATGACAACAATTACAAACTTTCCTGTTTCTGCCTCTCCTCACAACAGTTTGAACAGCTGTAAGGGGATCATTCGAGACAGAAGTCAATACCTTGGTGACCTTACCGTGGAAGAAATCTGTGAGGAACTTTCAAGCCAAGGTGTAACTGATGTTGTTAGATTTCAAATAAAAAAGAATGGAAATATAATCAAATTAAATACATATCTTTTGACATTTAGAACTCCAACTCCTCCTCCATCTATTACTTTAGGTTGCTTCGGAATCAGAGTTGACAGGTTTATCCCTAATCCAATTCGATGCTTCACTTGTCAAAAGTTTGGTCATGGAAGCAAACAATGTCGTGGTACGCAGAGATGCTTCAAGTGTTCTGACGAAGGACACGAGGGAACAACCTGTAGCTCTGAATCTTCTAAATGCGTAAACTGTGGTGAATCCCATTTTTCATCATCTAGGGACTGCCCTGTTTACCTTAAAGAAAAAAATATTATCAAAATTAAAACAGAAAGAAACATCAGTTACCCAGAAGCTAAACAGATAGCTTCTGTTTCGAATGATCTCCTTGTTTCGAACAGACCATCGTACGCCAGCAAAGTTGTCCGCTCATTTAGTCACGAGCATACACAAACTCGCATGACCTGGCCAATTGATGCTGAGACATTTACAATGCTGCCTGTTGAAACAGAACCTAACGATAAAATATTAATTCCAAGAAAACCAACACCTTCTAAAACCAGTACTCAGTCAACTCAATCTTCCTTACAGAGCTCAATGTCATCATCTAAAAAAAATGAAAAAAAGAAATCAAATAAAAAAGATACAGTTAAATCAGACAGTTGGGGCGGTGAATCTGTCTGGGATCTTCCCAGTGACATAGATGATTCTTCCATCTCCAATAGTCCTCCTTCATCTACATCTAATAAAACTAGTTTATCTTCTACATCCAGTACAAAGTCTTCTAAAGCCCCGTCTCCTCTTCGTTCTCCAGAACAGAAGGATGTTCCAAATAAGCCAGCAAATACATCCTCTCAGAAGTCTTCTGATTCGAGGTCGCGGGGTAGGGGTCGAGGCGGAGTAAAACCAGCTGCGCATGGTCCTGGAGATCGACGACTCTCCTCACACAACAGATTTTCAACACTTAACGACGAATCAGAAATGGAAATCGAAAGTGTTCCGCCACCCGAAAGATTACAATCTCAGGGTGAGCGAAATAAGAATGCTGGCAAACTCGATAGCATTCGCCCGTCTATTAACAAATCATGCTAATATCATCCAATGGAATTGCCGAGGTCTTAAAATAAATCTTCTCGAGTTGACGCTTCTAGTTCAGTCATTTTTACCTACTGCATTTTGTCTTCAAGAAACTCATTTAAAAGAAAGTGACAATGTATCTTGAAATATGTATGATTTATTTAATAATGTTTCATTTACAAATATTGTTTCATTTTTAAAAGAAGTTGGAATATATTCTAAAATATAAAAATGTTATTATATTTAAAACGTTTTTAAATTTTATCACGTTATCTTAATGTTCATTTTTATTTGTACATAATCAATTTGCTTTAATCTAGAATTTTAGTTTATTGAAGGACCTTTTGTCTGATTTTAAGAATATGCTTTAAATTGTAAAAAATATTCGAATTAGCTCTCGCGCGATATAGCCTTGTTGTGCTAATGCGGCGTAAAGCAACCAACAATCAATCAATCAATCTTTCTTTGAAGAGTTAGAATTACCAAGGTATAAAAGGCAGATAACTCATGTTTATTCAACTCTTTATTTAACATGTGTGAATGATTGTAAAATACACTTAAGTTAGTCCTTTGGTTGTTTATAATGCATACATTTTAATATTCAATACTTCATATAGATTTTTTATCTAGAATCAAAAGAACTCATTTTTTTTACCAAAATTTCTAGTTTTTTAAATGCTTGTTTCTCAACGATTTGTATAACTTTGTGGTTTATATGTTTTCTTTTGAAAAAGACTTTATTTGAGAAAATTTTTATTTTGTTTACAAACATTCATAACAGGCGCAACATATAAAACAAGAACCCACACTTACCAATTCCAAAATTATCAAACTGTATTGTATCATTACATCTGCCACATGGACATTTTGATAGTTTTGTATGGTAATCTTTTGCTATGACAAAAGATGACATAGTCAGTTTTGAAAAAAGATGATTAGCTAGAAGTTCAGTAACAAACAACTCTGGTTCTTGAATATGCCAAGGTATGTCCCGAATCTCCTGCAAACACTTTTCATGGAAATCTGAAAAGGATAATTGATGGTATAATATTTTTGCATAATTGGTAAAATCAGCAATATTATATCATGTATATGTCTTTTTTAGAATTATCTGGATCATATGTTAACATGGTTAAACAACTTTTATTTACACATGATCTAAACAGTTATAATTTGAAGGTTCTATCATTGATGTGACTCTCCTATATCTTTAACCATAGAAAACACTTCCTTACATAAAGTTAGTAGTGCTGGACATTGAGAAAGCTCAAACATACAATGATTGAGTTAAGCCATTTCAATTGATATTTTATAGTGTGTCTTTTATGTTGTGATGTTAACACTATTGTTTCAGGTAGGGTGAAGGTTGGCACCTATTAAAACGTTTAAACCCGCTGCCTTTGTTTGAACCTGTCTTAAGTCAGGAATATGATGTTCAGTGGTTGTCCTTTGTTGATGTGGTTCATAAGTGTTTCTCGTTTTTTTATATAGATGAGACCGTTGGTTTTCCTGTTTGAATGGTTTTACACTAGTCATTTTTGGGACCCTTTATAGCTTGCTGTTCGGTGTGAGCCAAGGCCGTACTTTGACCTATAATGGTTTACTTTTACAAATTGTGACTAGGATGGAGAGTTGTCTCATTGGCACTCATACCACATCTTCTTATATCTAAACAAATATATCAGGGTAAACATTTTATATGTTATTCTATATATATATATATATTTTTTCTAAGCTTCCTTAATTTCATTTTAGTTCAAGGCATAAAAATTGATATAGATAATTTTGAATTTATATTATTGTGTCTCAAATAGTTTTCCAAAAATAGCTAGGTTCATCAAAGAATGCATTAACAGTAGAATCTTACTCTAATGGCCAATCATGTTTTAAAATGTCTATAGTTAGAAAGAGAAAATACCAAAAATATGTTTGTTTGTAATATTGTAAGGGTGACTTGACACATACTGATTTATTGATGAAAAGAGAATTGATTAAGACTAGATTCATCATTTTTCACTGTTTTGAACTTTTAATAGGACATGTACATTGTACACTCTAGCTTTGCTTGTCAGATGATGACTCTCACTTGCCCCGGGGAATCAGACAGCTGTGAATGTGTAACCCCTGTAATGTAAGGATGTAAAAAATAACCAGTACATTTAACTAAGTAAATTTTTGAAGAAGTATAAGGGGAGATAATTCAGACCTAGATAATAAAATTTAAATCTGAAACATTTACATATACATGATATACAAGTAAATAGTACAGTTTACATCTTTAACATGTTTAAGAAAAACTATTTTCTTTTTACAGTAGTTCCAAAAACTGTTAATCTGCTACATATTTTTACCAAAAACACAATAAAACAGAAGAATTCAATCATGCAGTTTCAATAGTGAAGACAAAGAAAAATGACTTGATGATGGACGACAATGGATGCCAAGTGATGGCAATAAACTAGAGTCATTTTTTTTAAACAAGAAACCTTTTGAATGATAGTTTAAAATGTTACGGGAATTTGGAAGGGAAATTTAGCCCGGTAATTTACAGACAATAGAAACTTTATGCAAAATGACATAAAATGCTCCGCTGGGCACAGCTAACGATACAACCGAGAGCTCAAACCCTGAACAGTTGGGGCAAGTATGGACACAACATTCAAGCTTGATACAGCACTGAATTTGGATTGTGATTAAATATATGACACAGCATAGGTTTCTGACACAGAATGAATGTGGTCTAAGAATTTAAAATTTTTTAATTAACCTATTCAAACCATATCATTATTATTTGCTTTTATATATAAATCAGAAATAACCAATTTAAAATAGAAAATTTTAAAGAAAAAAAAAATCCCTCCCCCAAATTTTTTGAACCCCCTTATGATTCATCACCTCCAAACTCAATCCTAGCCCTCCCTTTGTGGTATGGTACCTTGCAGTACAATTTCAGAGAGATCCATACACTTGAACACAAGTTATTGTCTGGAAACTAGAAAAATGCTTGTTTTTAGGCCCCTTTTTGGCCCCAAATTCCTAATCGTTAAGGGGAATTACCTCCAAGCTCAAACCCAGCTTTCCCTTTGTGATATGGAACCTTGTAGTACTATTTCATAAAGATCCATACACTTACACACAAGTTATTGTCCTAAAACTAGAAAAATGCTTGTTTTTTGCCCCTTTTTGGCCCCTAATTCCTAAAATTTTGAGGCAATTACCCCCAAAATTAATCCCAGCCTTCCCTTTGTGGTATGGTACCTTGCAGTACAATTTCAGAGAGATCCATACACTTGAACACAAGTAATTGTCTGGAAACTAGAAAAATTCTTATTTTTGGCCCCTTATTCCGAAACGTTTTGAGCAATTACCCCCAAACTCAATTCAAGCTTTCCCTTTGAGATATGGAACCTTGTAGTGCAATTTCAAAAAGATCCATACACTTACATACAAGTTATTATCATGAAACTAGAAAAATGCTTGTTTTTTGTCCCTTTTTTGGCCCCTAATACCTAAAATTTTGAGGCAATTACACCCAAAATCAATCCCAGCATTCCCTTTGTGATATGGAACCTTGTGGTACAATGTCAGAGATATCCATGCACTAACACACAAGTTATGTCTGGAAGTTACAAAAATGCTTATTTTTGGCCCCTTTTTGGCCCCTAATTCCTTAACTGTTGGTACCATAACCCCCAAAATCAATCCCAACCTTCCTTTTGTGGTATTGAACTTAATGGTAAAATTTCATAGAGATCCATTCACTTAAACTAAAGTTAGAGTGCGAAAACCAATGTGTCTTCGGACGTCGACGACGCCAACATCATACCAATATACGACCGCAAAATTTTTTTGCTGTCGTATAAAAAACTGCTCAAGATACATGTTCATTATGAACAAAGAACATGATGGATAAGCCAAAACAAAAATACTTAAAAAAAAAATACAGTTAGAATATATACAGTATATATATACCTATTTTCCTTAGGAATCCTGCCTTAAAATCATTAATTGAATACTCCAAACTGTCTTCATTTGAAGATTCTGTATCATGACTAGTAATATTCCCATCAATACTTTGTTGCAGTTGTTCAAATCCATTTTTAAAAATGGAATGGAATCCCTCTGCTGCTGGGACTGATATATATGTTTGTATGCCTTTGCGTTTTACTTGTCCATCAACTGGTTCTATTTCAATTGATGACTGAGTAAATGAGCGTCCCAAGCAATAGCCAACCAAACGGTATGGTACAAATGTGACATCTTCAAAACCATCAATTGCCTGCCTTATCAATTCAGAGACATTTTGAGGTCTATCAACTTTCTTATACGGAACTTTTCTGGTGTATTTACTGTAAAATACTGTACTTGGACACTAAAAAATCAAAGAGAAAATTTACAAATTTGCAATAAATTATAAACCACTTTCTCACTGAGAGAGCTCAGGAAAATAATTAATCAACATTTAAAAGTTGGCTATCCAAATCAACACACAGAATGAAATAAAACATATTGATTGTAGTCTGCAATGTAGAGATAAAAAGAGTATGTGGAGACAAATCTCCTGTTGAGGCAAACACATGCTTAACATGCTTAAGGGGTCAGCCTTTTTGCCACAAAAAAACATGGCACAATTAAACAAATTAAGTTGCGTAAAATTTAATCGCTACTTTACAATTTTGTCATATTTTTATGCATGCTATATTGATGTCAAAGTGGAGAATCAAAATAACAATGTTTTGGGATTAAGCAAGATTTTTTTACCAGATTCACACATTGTATATTTAATTAAATTTGATAAACTGAACATTCATGACATATTCTGCAGTTAAACCCTTTTAGAATTTGAGAACATGTACTTTAATTTGTAGAATAAGAAATAAACTAAGAAGACTTTTCAGAAAGCTACAGGTTAAATAAGCCTTTTAAGACTGAGGTGCCATTAAAGTGTGAAATGAAATAAAACACAACAGTAAAAATCTCAAGAAAACAGGGTACTTATAAAGTGAGAAACGGAATTGAAACGAAAAGAAACAAAAAATAATGAAAGGCAACGAAATATAACGAAACGCAACGCAAATATAATGATGAATAACAAAAATTAGTTCATGATAAAGAAAAATATATTTGCTGTTTAACTTTAAAAAGTGTTGACTATAACTAAGCATACCACATTAACATCAATAAACGCAATTCTAATGCAATTATTTTGTATCAATGGTTCTGATTGGATCACAATAAGTGTAAAATTCTCTATCTCCCTGTCTGTAACTAAGAAAGCCGACATTTTGAATTCCTGAAAGTATTGACATGTAATTTCTCCAAAAATAAGCCAAAAAACTCACATGTTGCACCTAGAAATCTTCTTTTTATCAAATTTTATTACATTTCTTTTGTCTGAAAATTTACTATGCTGTTTGAATAATTGTAATATTGAGCCTAGCTATCGCTCTGATCATTCTATGGTTATATTAAATCTAGAATTTAATCCATTTGATCGAGGTAGAGGATTGTGGAAATTTAATAATTCATTATTGTATGATCCAGAATATATAAAGATTGTTAAGGAAAAAATAGTAGAAGTTAAAAAACAATATGTAACACCTGTTTATGATATAGATAGAATTGAAGACATAAATAATGAAGATCTCCATTTTAATATTAACAGTCACTTATTTCTTGAGACAATGTTGATGGAAATTAGAGGCAAAACTATATCTTATTCAAGTTATAAGAAAAAAGTAAAAGAAAAACAAGAGAAAGATATTAGAAATGAAATCCTAATTTTGGAAGAAAAGGTAGATGAAGGTTCAATAAAGATTTTGGAAAATAAAAAATATGAATTAGAAAATATAAGAAAAGAAAAAATTAAAGGGAAAATAATTCGATCAAGAATACAATGGGTAGAAGAGGGTGAAAAACCTACTAGCTATTTTTGTGGGCTAGAATCAAAAAATTTTACAAATAAGATAATACCAAAAGTAGAAAAAGAAAATGGAGATGTAATTTCAAAACAAAAAGATATTTTGAAAGAAGTGAAATCTTTTTATGAAAATTTATATAAGAATAAAGATCAGTCAAAGGGAGATAAATTCAGTAAACTCGAAGAAGGATTGAAAGATATAAAGTTTAAAAAATTAACTGATGATGAGAAAAATAATCTTGAAGGTAAAATAACAATTGAAGAAGCTGGTTTGATATTGAAAAATATGAAAAATAATAAAACACCAGGATCTGATGGTTTCTCCACAGAGTTCTTTAAATTTTTTTGGAAAGATTTAAAAATTTTTGTTGTAGACTCCTTGAACTACAGTACTGAGATTGGTGAACTATCTGTTACGCAAAAACAAGGAATCATTACATGCCTGCCGAAAGGAAATAAACCTAGACATTTCTTAAAAAATTGGCGACCTATATCTTTATTAAATACAGTTTATAAAATTGGCTCTGGAGTTATAGCAAAACGCTTTAAAACAGTTTTAGATAAACTGATAGATTTCGATCAAACTGGATTTATTAGTGGGAGATATATTGGAGAAAATCTCCGTTTAATTTATGATATTATGCAATTTACTGAGGAAAAAGACATTCCAGGACTTTTATTGCTCATAGATTTCGAAAAGGCATTTGATTCAATTTCTTGGGAATTTTTAACCAGTGTCTTGAAGTTGTTCAATTTTGGAGAATCAATAATTAATTGGGTTAAAGTTTTTTATAACAATATTAAATCAGCTGTTAATCAGGGAGGACATCTATCAGAATTTTTTTCTATAGAACGAGGCTGTAGACAAGGTGATCCCTTGTCGCCTTATATTTTTATTCTCTGTGCTGAAATATTAGCACTAAAAATACGAAATAATGATAAAATAAATGGCATTACAGTTGCTCAAGCTGAGCACAAACTTTCACAATTTGCTGATGACACATCTCTTATTTTAGATGGTAAGGAAGAATCTTTGAATGAAGCATTAAATGAATTAGATTGGTTTGGAAATATATCTGGTTTAAATATTAATTTTTCTAAAACACAAGTTATTTGGATAGGAAATAAAAAGTATAGTAATGAGGTATTATGCCAAAATAGAAACCTTACATGGGGAGAAACATGTTTTAAGTTATTAGGTATAAGCTTTGATGTTAATCTTGATAGAATTGTAAAAATTAATTATGATGAAAAAATTGTACAAATAAAATGTGTAATTAAACAATGGTCAAAACGAAATCTTACTGTTATTGGTAGAATTACTGTTGTAAAGACATTGATATTGCCTATTTTAAATCATTTGTTTATATCCTTACCAAATCCAAGTGATGATATTTTAAAAAATGTTATTGAACTTATGTACAATTTTATATGGAGTTCACCAATTGATAGAATAAAGAGAGATGTTTTACAAAATGATATTGAAGATGGTGGACTCAAAATGATAAATCTTAGTGCATTTATTTTAGCACTGAAGTGTACATGGATAAGGAGATTATTTAAAACAGACAACAAATGGAAGAATGTTTTTTTGTCAAATGTTCATGTAGAACTTGAAAAATTTTATGGTTGTGGAAGTGTTTATATACAAAAATTACAACAAAATATAAAAAATAAATTTTGGCAAGATGTTCTGAAAGCATGGCAACTTCTCAGAGAAAAAGATGAATATGACAGTTGGGAATGCTTTCTTGCTAGTCCAATCTGGCTTAACAATAATATAAAGGTAGCAAATAAACCTATTTTTTATAAAGATTGGTTTGAAAATGGTATAAGATTTATAAATGATATTGTAAATGAAGATGGGACTTTTTTCTCTCATCAAGAATTAGAAGAAATGTATCAGATAAATGTGAATTTCATGAGATATAATAGTATTATATCTGCTATACATCAAGCATCAAAATCATTTGTGGGAAAAAATCACAAATTAGAACTACCTTTAATTCCATCTGCTATTAAAAGACTTGTTAAAAGTTCAAAAGGATCTAAAGATATGTATATTGTTTTAAATAAAAATAAAAGTGTTCCCACTAGTCAGTTAAGATGGACTGAAATTTTTGGCTTTGATCAAAATCATTGGAAAAAAATTTATAAAATGCCATTTGTTGTCACAAATAATACTAAGTTACAGTGGCTACAGTATAGATTCAATCATCGAATCTTAGCTACAAACAAATTTCTTCATAAAATTAAGATTTATGATAATCCAAATTGTACATTTTGTAATAGAGAAATTGAAACATTAGAACATTTATTTTGGGATTGTGAACATACACAGATATTATTAGAACAGATTGAAAATTGGTTTCTGACCAATGGAGTTAGTGTATTTTTTACAAAAGAAGTTTTTTTGTTTGGTAACATTGCAAAAATATCAGAAGGCAATGCAGAAAATACTCTTTTTCTTACCATAAAGCAATATGTTTATAATACCAGATGTTTTAAAAAAAAACTGTCAATAAACTCAGTAAAAGAGAAGATGAAATATGTGTATGCAATTGACAAAAATATTGCTATGAAAAACAAATGTGAACATCAGTTTCACAGAGAATGGAACATTTTTAATAGATTACTTAGTTAAGTACAAAAATGTATACACTTTAAATTTAATATTATACATGTTATAAATGAAAATGCTGTATTTACTATGCTAAAATAGAATTCAATGTCTAGATGAATTGTATTGAAAACTCACCACACTATTTTCTCTCACTCTCTTTCTCTCTCTCTCCGGTGTTCAGACTGCTTTACTCTTTATCTTATATTTGTATATTTAAAAAAAAATTGCTTCCTAATAAAAAGATGTATTGTTAAGATAATATCAATAGATTTATATATTATATATTGTTATTATTTGTGTATACACTGTATTATGTTGTAAATTGGAAGTTATAAATAATAAAAATTAAAAAAAAAAAAAAAAAAAAAAAAAAAAAAAAAAAAAAAAAAAAATTTTATTACATTCTGAAGCGGACAAGAAGCAAGAAAACGCCCAGTATTTACGTTTCATGCCGGAAAGCATACCTATGACTTAAGTTCACCTAGTTTAGGCGCCAAAGAAGATAACATCTTTTCGCAGAATTTTAGTTTAATGAAAATTTTACACTGAAAAATTACTAAAATTGAATGATTTGTTTATTTTGCATTAGAATAGAGATAACTGTATTGTATTTGAAGCTTTGCAGACGTCCATCGGTAGTTTTACTGTCGCAAATATCTGTTTACCTGTCTCCCCTACGCATCGCCAAGTAACTAAATTTGCGACAGTAAAACTACCAATGGACGTCCGCAAAGCTTCAAATACAATACAGTTATCTCTAAATTTGCTTTAAGAGGAGAATTTGGAAAATTAGCCACTTAGAATTTCAAAATTCATCTGTCGTCCATGG